GAAGGAAGTAACCAGATAAATCCAGAAAGTGATACGCCACAGAAAAACCAGCATAGTTTCTTCAGCCAATCAGTGACGTGCAAGAAGGGCAGGCGGGGGAAACTATTCTAGAAAATAGAGACTTAACCGGAGCTAATAACCGATATCGGTGTTTTCTGGAAAAATACCATTATTATATAAGATGTTAATATTAGGGGAAACTGGGTGAAGGGTATACGGAAATTCTCTGTACTAACTTGGCAACTTTTCTGTAAATCTCAAATTATTCTAAAATAAAGAGTTTATAGGAGGGGATGGGAAACTTGAGATACAGAAACAAATTCAATGTGTGGACACTACTAGATTCTGGTTCAAAGACCTGACTGTACAAGACATTTCTGAGACCACTGGGGAAATTAAATGCGGGCTGGGCATTGTTGACTGTAAGGAATCATTGTTAATCTCATTAGGCTAAGGTTATGTAGAAAAATGTCCTTCTTTTAGGAGATGCTTACTGAAGTGTTTGGGTAAAATGTCACGCTGTCCTTATTTAATAAAAAGAAACATTTAGGCCAAAATGTTCTTAAAAGCAGATGGAACAAATATAACAAAATACTGATTTCTATATCTTGATGATAGGAATATGGGTTTATCATATTTTCCTCTGTACTTTTTTGTATAATTGAAAGTCTTCATAATAAAAAAGATGTACAGTTATTATGTGTCAATTAAAAACACACCAAAACTAAATGATTGAGTGCCTGTTATTTGCCATGTGCTTTAGATGTTGTTGCATTAGGTCCCCAAACGGCCCCGCAAGACAGATCCATTACCCACATTTTAAAGAGGAGGAAAGTGAAGTTCAGAGAAGTGTGGTGTCTTGTCTAAGGTCACACAGCCAGAATGGGGCAGAGCTGGGATTTGTCCAAGATTCCCAGTGCCTCTGTGGGAGGAAAGTATCTGAGGTCTCGGTCATTAAGCTGTTGTGGAGACCCAGGGAGGGGGACTAAGAAGAGGGCCCTTAAGCTTATAAACCGGGGGACCAGGAACCATCAGGGAAGCCCAAAGGAGGGGCTGGGCTGGGAGTCAAGGTAAGGAATTTCACTTTAGATGGTGACAACGGCCAGTATTTTTCACTTACTGTTACTTGATTTGCCGTACTCGAATCTTTCATGCATCTACCCTCCTTGTAGGCAGAGCGTGGTCCTTTTCGCAGATGACAGCCAGGCTCAGGGAGGTTGAGTGTCTTATCAAAGGTCACACAAGTGCCAGGTGAGGGAGCCAGGACTAAGTCCCGGCCCTGGAGATGGTCTTCTCCATCAACATCCCGCTTGCCTGGTGGGAGGAGCCTTCACAGGTGGGAAGAAGGCCTGCACGATGGCCCCAGTTGTGTTCAGCTGCGTTGCAATATAAGCAAGAGCAGAATAAAGCTTCTCTGTGCATCGGTGGCAGGTGCTCCCACAGCCTCCCCAAGTGCCTGTGGAATCTCAAACAGGTGGGCTCTTGCTGTCCTCTGCCCACCTGCCGTCAGCCTCCAGGTCCCACGGCTGGCCCGCTGTCTTCTGTTTCTGCACACACATCCCCTCATCAGACAGGCTTTCTCTGATCTGTCTTCTCTGTGTCCTTTCCCTGCTTTCATTGCCACCTGTCATAGCACACATAATGTTTCTTTTCTCCTCTTCTAGACTATAAGCTCTGTGAGGACAGAGACTTCATCTTATTACTCAGTAAACCCAGTCGAGCCTCCAGGAATTTGTTGAATGAATAAATGTATACATAAGTAAATAAATGTAAAAAGAATGGAAAGATGAATTGTTAGAAATATTTTTCTCTACTTTTTTTTTTAGAAACAGGGTCCTGCTATGTTGCCCAGGCTGGAATCAAACTCCTGAACTCAAGCAATCCTCTCTCCTCGGCCCCCAGAGTAGCTGGGACTACAGGAGTGCACCGCTATGTCCAGCTTTTCCCTCTACTTTTGAAATTATACTGTTGGGAAGTACTTTAAAAAAAAAGTAAATATATTTTCCCATCACTATCAAGCAATTAAAATGTCCTGAGTTTGGTGAGGGGTCACAAAGTTGGAGAAGACTCAGCACGTCTGAGAGCTGGAAAATACCCCTCATTTTACAGGTGAAGAAAGAGGCCGAGCAGGGTCGGGTCAGGTGCCTCAGGCCTTGTGGAATACGACCAGGCCCTGGTTCCATTCTTCACCCTTCTGAGAAACTCATTTTGTAAGTCTTGAAGTTTCCAAAGTTTAATCTCATGATGAGAAAGCTGTTTGAAGAAGTCTTGGACGTTGTGTTCCAAGAAAACGTTTCCGACCACCCGGCTTCAGGCTGCGGTCACTCTGCAGGCCCGGCCACCCCTTCCTCTGCTCCCCGCTTCCGGCGTGTGGGAGGCACCTGGGAAGCATTCCTCACCTGGCCTGGGCGGGCAGTTTGGCCCTAAAGCAATCAATCCACCCAACAGGCTGCGCTGGCCCCCCAGAGGGCTGTTCCTCACGGCCCCCTTGGTCTCCAAGCAGCAGGAGCTCCCTGACCGGGCTCTAGCTGGAGGGTCAGGAGGGGAGGAGCCCGCAGAGGGGCCCGGGGGAGACTGGGAGGAGCTGCAACAGGAAAATGGCCACAGCAGTTTCCAGGTTGGCACCTGATCACAGTCACTAAGCGGGTGGGGAGCTGCCGTCCTTGCCTGTTGCTGGCCCAAATATCCTGGCCTGGACAGTCAGCCACACTGCTCCCTCAGGCTTGGGCAACACGACTGCCTGGCCCCTTCCCTGCCCTCCAGGCTTCTCAGCCCACTCCTGGCCTCCCGGGGGAGGGCCCATGCCCTGGGATCCTACTGCACACCTTGCCAGCTGGGCCTCCTGGAACTAATTATTCTGCATGGTAGCTGGGGCCTGACCAAGCCCTGACCCCTTCCTGCTGGGCCTGACCGCCTGCTCCCGAGGCCCATCCTCACAGGCCCCCCCCCCCGTTTGGGACCCCCAGGCCTGAGGCCTTTCTGGACACTGCAGACCAGCCCAGCTTGGAGGACGGTTAATGCAGAGGCCTGAAGAATGGGCAGATCGGGAGCCCCTGGCATCGTATGAGCAGCAGCCAAGAGCCCAAGCTGGGGGACAGGCACAGGTCGTAAAGGGACGAACGTGCTGTGCTGGCCCTCTGTGCACCCCAGCAATGAGGGCCCCAGGAGGAGCTGGTGGTAGAACAAGTCCTGGTTGGGGATCTGGCCATTGTAAATATATCCCGTTAGATAGGTGGGTGGTAGGAAGATAACGTCTCCACAAGACATCATTTCCTTTCCCCGCCTTTCCCCCCCAGTGCCTCTCCTGGGGCTCACCCCGCCCCCGCAAGCAGCACTCGGGCTGTGTCTCTGCTACAATTCCCAACCCAGGTCCTGACACAAGGGCCAAGCTTTCCAGGACGGAACACTCGCTCCCTTCTCTGGCCAGGCAAGGCCTCTGGACGTGGGCTGGACTCCTGCCATCATGCACAAATCACTTTTTGAACCCTGGATAGACAGTTTCCCTCCCTCTGACCCTTCTGCTGCTCCCAAACCAAACTGGTGGTTGCGTTTGCTCAGGAAAATTTGACCCACACAGCCCCAAGACAAAGTGAAGTCATGTGGCTATTTGTGATTCGAAAGTAAGTACAGAAAGCTGATAGGGGAGTGGGGTGGAGGGGTGGGAGGGGAAGCCGCCCACCACCTGGGGGAGATGGGAGCAGGCAGGGAATGACTGGGGCGCGGCGGGAGGCTGCCTGTGGTCTGCAGGACTCACCAGACGTAAGCTGTTCCCTAAATGAGGGGCTGGGGGGTGGGGAACAGTGTGGCAACACGTGCTTAGTTCCCCACGTCACCCCTGGGTTCTGCCCTCTTCCCACGAGCCCAGGGGACGCCTGCAGAGGCGATTTTGGATGTTCTGTCTCCTGTTTTGTGTTCCGTGGAGGAAGCAGCACGCTCGTGCCCGGCAGGCTCTGCATGGGGCTCAGCCCCGCACTGGGAGGGCTGCAGTTCTTCCTTGTTCCTCGAGTGCCTCCCCGTCCCCCACCGAGGACCTTGTTTCAGAACCGGACCCCTTTCCTGGAAGGGAAGGTGGGGACTGGGGACGGAAAGCCTGGCTGAAGCGGAATGTTCAGGATGAGACAGGGGATGGGATGGTGGGGAGGAGGAGAGGTAGATGGAGTGAACATTTCTTAAAGTGTGGGGACAAGGTCATGCTCATCGGCTTTGTATTTTGAGCAGTGCCTGACACCAGGCCACGTGAAGCAGGACGGAGGAATGAAGAGGTTCTCACATATTGGGTAAAATGACCAGAAAAATAACAGAACAAAGCGAGGAAGCTGGTGCGACAGAGAGATGGAGGGATCAATGCCACGAAATGAAAGAGAGCACAGAGGTGAGCTCATTCCAACTCCCCGAGAGGCAGCCCTACCAGGAGCG